CCGGCCACGCGGGGAGAGGCCGCGGGGGGCGGACCGCCCCCTGCCGCCCAGCCCAGACTGGCTGGCCCGCGCCCTAAGCGGGTCTCGGGAGGGGTTGGGAGGAAACGGCGGAGCTGCAGAGCGTCTGGCTCTACAAAAGACAGGCTTCCTTAGCCTGGCCCGGTGGCCCCTGAATCTGGAGTAATAAATCCCCGGTTTTCCTGTAATCTGTAGGGTCTTCCACCGGTCTCCAATCTTTAAGGCTCAGGGTTCTCATCCAAAGAACAGGCCCTACCTCGTCCAGAGGGGTTGCAGGAACCCATCTGAGTCGTGGCCAAACAGACAGGGTTTTTGGTATGCTCTGCCCCGTAACACAGGGTGCCGTGGTTTGGAATGACAGAACCCGAAAGCTGGAGTATTAGTAATAAACATTTGAAATGTCCATCAACTGATGACCGGATAAACAAAAGGTGGTTTATCCATACAATGGAATATTTAGTCACAAAAAAGGAATTAAGTATTGACACCTGCTGGACATGGATGAACCTTCAAAACATGCTGAGTGAAAGCAGCCAGGCACGGAAGGCCACGGGTTATATATTTAGGAGAAATGCCCAGACAGGCAAATCCATATAGGCAGAGAGCAGACGAGAGGTTTCCAGAGGCTGGGGGAGGGAAGGGACATCGGGCTTGCTGACAGGAAAGGGGGCTCTACTCCGGGTAACAGAAGTGATGATGGTTGCACAACACTGTGAACGTACTAAAACCCACTGTATTGTACACTTTAAAAACCGTTAAATGAATTTTATGTGACTTTTGTCTCCATAAAAGAAGTCAGAAAAAACCCAAACACTTGAGGTACCACCTTTACTGGGATCCATTATTTCTGACTCTCTCAACAACCTAAGGTCATCACTCAGACCATCCTGATGGGCCACATTAACGTAGGACTTTTGTTAAGCCAGGATCCATTTAAGCAATTTCATGCATTAACTTAATAATCATAACAACTGTGTGAGGTAGGTACCACTGACCCATTCTAAAGAGATGAGGAAACAGATGGGAGCCCAAGTGTAAGCCTGGAAGCCACCAACTTTTGAGGGGTGACTAGGGGTGGATATGGCCTGAGCTGCCCTGCTGTGTCCACAGGCCCACAATCCTGGAGAAGCTGGGAGGGGACCTGACATCAGGCCCCGCCGCCCACCACACAGATGCCCCAAGCTTGGTGCTGGCCCTACCCTCCAGCCCCAGGTATGGCAGGGTTGCAGGGCTCCTCCAGACTCTGTGCTGCAGTGTTGGGCACCCTGTCCCCACACCTTACCCTTTTGTTCCCTTTCATTATCATGTGTACCTTTCTCTCTCCTGTGAGGGTCTCTACAGAGCCTTTTCTTCTTTGTGCCCCTCCCCAGCACAGAGCTTTGCACTTGGTGAATGCTACTTTGATGTCTGTTAAATAAAATGTAATCGGAAGTTATGAAGTGGGTGTTTTCCTTAGGGGTGGTTGTAGCCAGTTTTCCTGTTCTCTGGTCAAAATCCATCCTTCTCTTAAAAAATGAAACTCACTAAAGTGGAAACAACCAACTAGCTCTGCAGCACACTGTATCCTGGTTCTGTTCACACTCCACCCGACAACAAGGGTAATCTTCCTAGCAATTTATTTTTCATTTATTAAATTAATTTAGTTTTCAAATGGCCATTGATAATTGAGGCTTAACAATTTAGGGTTTTTTTGGTTTGTTCTGTGAGTTCTTGATAAGGTAAACATTTCAGTATTTGAGCCATACCAATATAGTAACTGTATTAAAAAATGGCATACAACTTAAAAGGTCCTGTCCTCCAGCTGGAAGATGAGAGATGGGTAAATACTTGATTTTTCAGAGGGATCAAGGCAAATGCATGAGCTGAAAGCCAACACCCTGCAACAGAACTGCAGGCGGATATTCACATTAGGTTATGAAACGGATGCTGGGGTTAAACCTCCAATTCCTAAAACCCAGCACAGAGTCATCAAGCACATATGATGACAAGATAAATACTGTGTGATACTGTTTATATGTAGAATTTAAAAATTACAACAAACTAGTGAATATAACAAGAAAGTAGCAGACTCATAGACAGAGAACAGACTAGTGGGTACCGGTGGGGAGCGGGGCGGGGGGCAACATGGGTGGAGGACTGGGAGGTATAAACTACTGGGTGTATGACAGGCTCAAGGATGTATGTACATCACTGGGACTATAGCCAATATTTTGTAATAACTGTAAATAAAAAGCAACTTTTAAAAATTGTATAAAATTTAAAAATTAAACAAAAAGAATACATGATGAAAGAATCTTACTTTTCTTTGTGGGTTAGCAGTTTTTAGTAAAAATAATTTTATTAATTAACTGCCTAATATACCCTATACTATCTTTTCTTACATGTGTGACTGAAAACTCTTTGATTGCTTCTTCATACAACAATTGTGTGATACTATTTTCCATAAAAAGACAATAGAAAGTCTAATTTTCCCTTACACAAGGTTGAAAGAAATTTGTATTATTGATAATTTAGAAAAGTTTTTTCATCTTCAGATCACATTTCATTATTGGAAAAGCCATATACATCTTTAGGATTGTTGTCAAATAACAATTTATTAAAAAAAAATCTCTAAACATGATCCGGCACGTGCAGTAGCGAAGGTCTACTAGTGGCACACATTGAGAAAACAGACATCAGGTTTCTAGTTGGGCTCATTAAAATCTACACACCTGGAAAGGTAGTTGGTTGTGCTTAATGGAATTGTTAAGAATCAGAGGACAGAGCAATGTACAAATAACAAGTTTGAAAACTTCAAAGCGTTTTAAGATAGACTTAATTTTTCATGATTTTCCCAAAGCCAGTCATGATATTTATTTAACTTATGGTCTTCAGGGTGTACCTGGAAGAAACACAACCATTAGGAGACAGAGGTCTTTATGTAAGTTAGTCAGAAATACACTTTTTAAATTGGCTTTTTAAAGATACAGTTGGGGAACAGTGCCTTATGAGAATATACCTGAAAATTGTAACTTTTAACCTAATGGGATTCATGAATCCTTAAAATTATACCTTACATTAAAGTATTCCTTTACAGTTGACAAAGCATTTTCCAATCTGGTACTAGTCTTCACCAGGACCCGGGGCTTGGGGTGGTGATAATGTGCATCAAGTGTTAATATGCTATTTTCCAGAAGGAGGTTATAGACCCTGAGAGTTAAAATGGATTGCTCAGGTCACAACAAATGGTGAAGCAGGAATGGGATTGGACAGATCTACCAGCTGAATGCTTCAGGGCAAGTCACAGACTAAGTGGGCAGTGTAAGCAGGCTAAGTGGGCAATGCCCACGGCTGCGAGGATGCCACCTGGATGCCTGTGGGCTGGGCACAGCACACTCAATAGAATGGCAGCCAAAGTCGGACCCACTTAGTACAGAAGTGGCCTGAGACCACTAGGAGAAACCCAACCAGTGTGCACCCCACGCCCAGACCTGCCTGCTTCCCTTCAGTGCTCATGACGGGACAGGGGAAAGCCCCATCAGGCCTAGAGACGGCATATGAGTGGGAATGACAGGAACCGGGCCAGAAGCGGCAACCGATGGAGGTTGGTCAGCATCTGCAGACTTGGGAGCATCTGTGGATCCCCTCCTGCTGTTAATAACCCCACTCAGCACTTCCCTTCAAGCCTGGAACAAAACTGGTTGTGACTGTAAAGGTGTGTGTGTCCAAGGAATAGTTTTAGCCCTAATGGTGGACTTACTCTGTCTTGGGGACAAAACGTGCTGGGGCATCATGTCTGGGAGTGGCCTTACCTGCTTCCACTCATTGACACAAAAAATCCGGTAAGAGTCGTTGCCGTACTTGCCAATCCCGTGAAGCTCGATCGGATACTTCCACTGCTTCGTCAGATACTCATCTGAGAACACAACACCCACCTATCAGGCCAGCCTCTAGAAAAACACTTCCCTAAAATGGAGAAACAGCAAAAGGGAGGGGAGAGAATCTGCTCTCCTCTGTGTTCCTGCAGTGCCCGCCCCTGAATGGACTGCTCACTATTACTGTTTTGTGTTGAGCTGATGAGACAGAGGTAATGTCCTTGAGGTCAACTGGGCTGTCTGCTTCACTGACTTCTTCCTTGAACCCTGCCCACAGGGCCTGACCCAGTGCTAGGCAAAGATTCATTGCCTGGGTCAGTGGGAGACTATGGTCTGGGGCAAGCGAGCTATTTCCAAACGGCTTCGGTGCTCGAGCTGAATGATCTCTACTTATGTAGCGTCTGAGGACATTAAAGTTCAAGGTGTGGCGCTCTTGCCCAGGCACAGTTTATGCTTTTCCCTTTAGGTACGTGGGAAGGTACCTGAGAACTTGATAATGGTTTTTGCTCGAAGATCATAGAGACCGAGGGGCTTCAGAAGTTCAGAAACATCTCTCCAGTCTGCCGCTCTTGCCACCTCAGCTGAAGGGTACTTCTCCAGGAACTGCCAAAGCACAGGGATCGCCATCCTGCCTGTGAAGTAAAAACAACCGTGTGATGGAGGACAAGCCTCCAGATGGGCTGATTTTAGGTTTACGTACTGCCTTATCTAGAAATCTCATATAGAGGGGTCTGTCTGTCTGTCTATCTGTCTTCCTTCCTTCCCTCCCTCCCTTCCTTCCTTCCTTTCTAAACCACTGATGAGAAGACATTACCCCAATCAGCAACCACTCTCAGAGTCAAAAAATAGCATTAACCTATTTGGCTAACAGTCCAAATTAAGCTGAAACCTGGCCTTGCATGATACCAGTTTTTAAATAATCAGATCATCAGATAACTGGCGTTACCCAAAAGCACATGGAACACAAGGTGCCAATGACATTAAAGAAAATATCCGGTGAAAAAGCAATGCTTCTGTACGTGACAGAGAGAGGAGGAATGTTAACTGATTTTCACTGATGACCAAAATGAATTTGGAAGTAGAAAATGAATGAAAATCTGCTCCTTAATGCTCAAAAGGCTGTTGGACGTCATCTAGTCGAAGCCTCTCACAGGTGAAGAGTTTGAGGGCTGAAGGAAGGGCTTATCTGAGGTCAAAATCAAACTCGAGCCCAAGGCCTCCTAATCGGTCAGTGCTCCTCCTCATCACACTGTCTCTACTGAGGCAAAGATGAAGAGAATCCACAAACCTGAGGTCCGATTGAGAAATATAGTCGCGATGAGCAGCTTCCACGGATCGTGAAAAAGTGTTTCTTGGACGAGATTAAAAGGTGACCGAGGAGGTGTCCACTTCTTAAAGGCCTTTCGTCGTGGGGGGCTAAGAGCTAAACAAACACACTGTGTCAGAGCTGAACGCCGGGAATAGTTAAATTTAAAGTCTGGTTTTCTGACTGGAAAAGGGATACCTTCTTTGTTATATTTGCTGGAAAAATACAGGCTTGTTTTCCTTTTTTCTATTTGTGTCCGTGGGATGGTGTCTTCTGAAAAGGAAGAGTGAACACTGTTTATAGAATCTATGGTTTAGTGTAAAGAAATATTCAGGGGTGCAAATAATAATAACACCATCACCACCACACTACTACTGTAAAGCATTCAGTAGGTGTCAGGCACCTTTCCAAGCAGTTTACAAAAATTAACCAATTTAATCCTACTAATGACTATGAGCTCAGTAGGTACTATTTTACCTCCACTTTACAGATAAGGAAACTGAGGTACAGAGAAGCTAGGTAACTTGCCCAAGGTCACAGCTAGTAAGTGTCAGAGTTGAAATTCTAATCCAGGCAGACTGACTTGAGTTCATGCTTTAAACCATTCTGTTATACCAGTTCTCTACGGTTTATGTTAGAGTTCACTGTAATGAAAAATTGGAAATAATACAGAATATTTTATTTTGCCAGGGGAGGTAACTAGGTTTATTTATTTATTTTAACGGAGGTACCGGGGATTGAATCCAGGACCTTGTGCATGGTAAGAAGCACTGTACTACTGAGCCATACCCTCCCTCTAGAGTATTTTAAACTGCGACCCAGTTGTACAATGTGGTCACTGAAATATTTTGAGACTATATCATGAATGTTTTTCCCATGTCATTAATTTTCAACTGAAAAAAGCAATATTCAACATATGATCTAAATTTAATAAAAAGAGAAAAAATATGATACAAAGATTAGAATGAAATAAACCACAATGGTATAATGGCTGTTGCTGATTTTTCTTTTCTCCTTTACTTTTCTACATTTTCCAAATATTCTTCAGTGAATACTTTTACCAAAAAAACCCCCAAAAAACAAACAAACAAAAAGGATAGATAAAACAGAACCTGCAGAAAAACCTAAGATCTGGACCTTTTTACATCTGAGGCCACTATCTCCTGGGAAGTTTAGTGAATTCACCAGACTCTTTGACCACCATTATTAGGCTTCTCAAGGTTCTAAAATCATCACATTTAATACTCACTATAGCCATACCCTCTAAATTTGAATGTCAGTTAGTAATACTTTGCATTTGTATAGTGTGAAGCCACTTTTTCACTTCTCATTTTACAATATTCATGATGTGAAAAACAGGACTGGTGAGGGTTATTACCTGTATTTTAGATGAAGACTCTAAGGCTTAGAAATTAAGCAACCATCCCAAAACAACAGTGGGATTACAGTAGACTGGGGTAAGTATCCAGGTCTCCAGATAATGAATCTAGTGTCTTCTGCTATTCTAGTTTGAATAGACAAAGCCCGTAGAAGGTAAAAAAGGGTAGAACAAAAGAAACTGCCCTTACTGGGTACCTGATAATTTCTTCTGTGGGTTCCTATAAATAACTACGGACTAGCCTCCTTTATTGCTAGGAGACTAAGCTCTGTTTACTCAGCAAATTCTGAAGTCTACCATTCCATTGGATGTCTATTAACTACAGCAAGCGGACCATCTTATGTTGAGAACTAGACTTCTTTATGCATAGGATGAATAGGATACTTCCATTTTAGTCACAAAAGGATGTTTTTGATATTTTATATGCCCATTATACTAGCAATAAATCTCAAGGCTTTAGGAGCTCAAAGTCTTTAAAGTACAGGCTTGAAGAATTTTAATACAGTTCCTAGGTCAATACGGTCCCGTTCTGTTCAAGTTAGAGAAATTCCAGGCACAGCGAAGACATAAAGTCATGAGGGGCACCAAGAGCAGGAACCAAGCCTAACCCCCTGTTCCACCAATTTGTCCAGCTGTCTCCCCACAGGACTTCAAGTAAAATTACTATCCTTTTTAAAGGAGTTATTCATTATATCACTGTGGCACAATGAATAACTAATACAGGGCTGCTCAAAAGGTCTCCTTTTTATTTCTTATTCACTGAGGTATTATAAAGGCAAAATTGCTAAGCTCTGAACTCTGTATTAAGAGCATATTACAAATAATAGATGAATTATGTGATTACCGTTTTGAATTATTTAGAGCTCTGAAGCATTTTAGAGAAGCATTACATTACAATAGAAGGTAAAAATGACTAGGATATATACAAAATTAAATTGGAAGCCACACATCATGTAATAAGTAGCAGGAGGGGTGCAGAGAGACTATTCTCAACCAGTTTATGTATAAAAGGAGTCTCCCCCAAACCTTTTCACAAGTGAAGCCTTTTCCTGCCCCCTAAAGTTGTAAGATTACTGGCTGGAAAAAAGGGAACAAGGAAAAGCACCGCTGAGGACAGTCCTGGGTGTTGCACCAGGGAGCAAGGGTAGCAGCTGTTAATAGCACAACTGTCCTCTGCTGGGGGCACCAAGGCAGTAGCCAGCAGATTCCTCCTCTGCCATAGAAAGGGCTTAAAAACCAGTTAGATCAACTGGTAGTATGTATCTAACATGTGGCCCTATTTCTTTGTTCTAGTCCCACATCCTAATCAGGTTCAGGTATGAAATGCAACATCCTCATCACATATTTAACAGCACTCCAGTGCACTGAATACCTTGAGACGGTTCCACAGAAGTGGAGTCTTTCTCCGTTTGTGAGCAGCTGTCCATTTCAGAGCCACATTTTGAAATGTCAACATGCAAATGTTCCTCCCTTTCCCCAACTTCTACTTTTGTTCTTATTTCCTCAGAGTCTAAAAAGGTGTCCTTGCACTTCCTGTTGTGTTCTGCTTCTTTGGTTGAACATGATTTGTTCGTGATACCAGAAGTGATTTGTTCAAAGTTTGATCCTGAACTCGGTGATTTTTCTTTACCAAGCCTCTCTTCCTCGTAGGTCACACTGAGGGTCTTGTCACTCTCTTTGGCATCAGAAATGCAACAAGCTCTATCAAGCTGACTTCCTTGTGCAACGGGTTCGTTCTCAGCATCCACTGCCTTCTTATGCACAGATTCTCTTTTTCTGTTACTTTGGACAGGATCTGGAAGACTCTTCCGGCACCTGGTTTTAGCTTTCTTCTTTTGGGTTCCTTTCAAAATAGTCTCCTTTCCTTTGGACTTTCTAACCTTTCTGGAGTCAACATCATTAACACCCTCATCTTCTTTCAAAAGCAAATGAATGGAAGTAAAGTTAGATAGTCCTCTGCCATCTTGCAATTCCAAACTACCACTTGGCAGAGGAAAGACATCTTTTTTCCACCTGCCTCGTGTCCTGAGGTTCTGGTTTGAACTGTTACTTTCCTTTAGCAGTCGGGATGTCAGAGCTGCCGTGCTTCGATCTTTACATCCTGACTTGGTGCCCCTTTTAGGAAGTACAGTAAAATCAAAATCTTCTGGTTTAAGAGAAGTCTCTCCACTTTTGTGAAGATAATTAGCAAGTGAACTTTTGGATCTGAACTTCAGTCCCTGTGGGCTAGAAAATGATATTAAAGAAAACTTATTGCTAGTAAATAAAAATGTCTTTTAAAAAGAACTGGACCACAATTTCAGATTTTTTAATTAATAATTCCGAAACTCTGCCATGGGCATTTGTCATTTAAAATAAAAAACAGTGATAAAATGATACTTTTAAGTTGTTTCCTCTATGATAATATAACATAATTTTACAAATATAACTTAAGTGCAACCTTACCATTAACTATTCACAGTAGGAGAAAGTGTATTTGCCCCCAAATCACTTGGTATAACTAATCAGTGACACTCGAGAAACAGAATCCATTATGGTTTTATGGTAAAAATGGAAGAAAGCCAAGATTCCTGCTATGCTTTCCCGCCACCTGTCTAGACAAAATGATTTGGCTGTACTATCTTTATCACCTTGCATACTCACCTTATAAAATAAACGTCATATCTTCCTGCTGTTTTCCCAGATAACCGCTGCTTCACCACTCTTTCCCATCCGCATGGGACGGACTTACGGCACTCTGTCACCGCTGTACCACTAAACTGAGCAGGAGCAATTGGTTCTTGTGGCAGGGGGTTACACTCACTGCAGCTTTTTATCATCATTTGCTTCTCGTCTTCTCTCGCTCTTCCTGATCCCAGAGCAACACCTTCCTCCCTGAAAAAAGGAAAAGACAAATTACGCATGCTTAGCTCATTTAAAATTTATGTGATTCTGCTTATTCAATTTCAGTCCATGACAGAGAAGAAACCACATGGACTATTCGGACTATGGGAGAGATTAAACTCAATGTGGACCAGTCTTGCTATGAGAGTATCTCCCTGCCCTCCAATACATTCCTGTCCTCCAACATGGGTTAAAAAGCATTGGAAATTTCTGCACAGTGAAAAGCTCAAACTATTTGTTAGAAACTTTTTGTTGTTGTTGTTAATCACTGAATAGGGCTGGTATAACGATTTCTGGTGACACCTGGCGTAAGTCTAAAAATATGAACCAACAGCTGAGCTCTTAACCGGGAGATCAACAGAACGGCTTAAAGGAGTCAGTGAGACACCCTCCTCCTCCCCAAACAAGTGACATAAAATTTTTTTATATTTGTGCGTTTTTCTAGGGGGACAGTGTCTACTACTTTCATCAGAGGTTGTAATCCTCCAAAAGGTAAATAACTTCTAACACAGAATTTTCAAATTCTCTTTCATTCTTGATCTGATAACCTTGTGAGGTAGGTAGGATAAGGGTTACTCTCATTTTATTGATAAAATTGAGTGACAGGGAGATTAAGTTACTTGTAGAACTGATACCAGAAGTTAGGTCTACTAAATCTTGGTCTAATACTTCTCCCCTGTACTATTGTTGAAAACTTCAGTAGAGTGTATCCTAATCACTAAATCACACATTTTAAAAGTTGGATGGGTCTAACCAACTTCTTACCTACAAGTAGGGAAAATAAGCAAGAGCTAGTGATTAACTAGAATTAGAATCAAGGATCTCTTTTGTAATTGGGGTTAAATAATTTTGGGGAGCTGGGTGGATCTTAAGAAATTACATGGTTCACAATTTTGGAGACAAGGAAACTGAATTCTGGTGAAAACAGTACAAACTTTAAAATCAACAGACTGGGTTCAAATCCCATCTCTGCCATTTACTAGCTGTGTCCAAGAGCAAGTTACTTAACCTCTCAAAGTCTGTTTCTCCATCTGTAAAAAGGAGGTAGTATCTCTTAAGGTAGTTCTGAGTAAATTTTGGGAGTAAAAAAAAAAAAAAGGTAAATCATCTTAGCCCCATACCACTCATACACAAGTACTCAACAAATGACTGCAGCCTCGTCTGTTCTCAGAGGACCCATTTCTGGGGCAGCTCTGGCTGCTTAACATGACATCTCCAAGGTCTTCCTAGTACTCTCCAACCCAAGCAGTCGTCTCCTGCACTGGAAACCTCCCTGCTCTTCCCAGCTCCCTGGTCATTTCGGGAAACGAAGTTAGGAGCAGCCACGACCGACCCCACCGGGAAGGGTACCTGAGCTCCAGCCCATGCTCGCAAGAACTAACCCTGCGGGGCCCGATGTCTCCGTGGATCCTAGGTGAGAAAGGCCCACACACCTTCTACTCCCCCGCTCCCATTTACACGTGGTGAAACTGAGGCCCGAAAGGGGACAATAACTTGCCGGAGGTCACACGGCCGGTCTGGGACTGGGCGCTCACTGGCGGTGAACGACGGGGCAGCTCCGCAGTCGTCCAGGCTCGGACTCTCCATCCCAGCGGTGCCCCTCCAGCGGGCTGCGCCTGCTGCAGCGGACCAAGAGCGTGCAACGCCTTAGGTGTGGAGTGGAGTAAGACGCGAAAATTTCCTTAGCTCAGAGCGCGGGGCACAAACCAACAGCTGAAAACAGCGATAGATGCCTCATCAGCTTTTCGGCCGCCCCCCTCCCCGACCACAGCCGCCATTTCCACGGCTCAGCCAATCAGATCCTTGGTCAAGGAAGACGCACCGCCCCCCGCCTGTTCCAACCAATCGCGCGCGCCCTAGTTGGGCGGACGCCTTCCGGGCTCCCGCTCCATCTTTCTAGCCCTCCCTTTCAGACGTGCGCACTTGGAACTCTCGGCCCGCGCGTAGCTCACTGCGCATGTGCGTTGCCAGGGCAGCGCAGGTAGCCGAAGTGGCTTGAGGAGTGAGGAGGCCTGTTGCTGAGGCGGGGAGGAGGGGCCCGAGGCGTGAGGGAAGCCGAGATGAGGGCCGTTCTGACGTGGAGAGATAAAGTCGAGCAGTGGTGAGGAGCGGGGCGGTCCGGGAGGAGCGGGAGGCCGAGCGCCAGCAGGGTGGCGGGGGCGTTGGCGTGAATCCCCGGGGTAACCGAGGGCAGCGGCCTGCGGCCTGGACTGAGGGCACTGGGCCCCGGGTCTAGGGGCCGCAAAGTCGCCCCCGACCCCTGTGCGGTGGAGAAGCTGGGGCCTGGAGGGGGAGCCAGGGGGTGTGTGTACCTCGCGTGAGGTGCTGGCCTGTCAGGCGGTTTCACAGGTAATCACAGTCCGCTGTGGTTCCCTCACCCGGAGCCGTCCTGGGCTCCTCACCCCCACGGCTGCGTTTCTCCAACTTCAAAACTGTTTCATTGGTTTTCTGTTTGTTTTTTTCACCTTCACAGCTTTTGCCACATCTAGTGTTACCTATACTCTTGTTTGCTTAATTTTATCCTCTAAATTGTCTCGTACTTTCGTTTAAATATGATTTTACATTCTACAAGGAAACTTTATTACTCCGTTGATGAAAATTCGTATCACTTGCGCTAAATGTCAGCTGTAGAACCTCAGGCAGGGAGAGACAAAACAGTGCTAACAAGCCGTCGCTGTCGCTATACCTCTTGCCAGGGAGCTTGCTGTCTCTAGAACTGGAGATTGGCAAGTGAGGTCGGAGAGGTGCTTGAGATGAAGAGCATCAAACCGAGACTGTCTCCTCAGCTTCATTAGAAGATTTGAAAGAGAATGACTTCCTCACTTTATGATTCAGTGTTGTTTAATGTCCTGCTCCATTTTGTTCTATTTTGTTAAGAATAGTTATTTTTGGGGGGTACAATTTATTTGGGGGGGAGGTAATTAGGTTTATTTATTTATTTTAATTTTTAAAAAATGAATATACTAGGGGTTGAACCCAGGACCTTGTGCATGCTAAGCATGTGCTCTGCCACTGAGCTATACTCCCCCACCTCCGTCCTGTTCCGTTTTTTATCACCTAAATCCACCATATAATGATACATGTTGGGAGGAATGCTGACTTATTTCCGTAGTTCTCCTCAGCCTGACTTTCAGATCTTCTTGCATGATCTTTTCACCTTCATTGTGATGCCTCTGTTTTGGCTACTGAAACAGTCATTCCCTCGCTGTCTTTTCTTAAGCGCTTCTGTGTGACGAAAGCTCGTGTTCATCTCCTCACACTGATATCCTAAACATGCCCAAGGTTCCCTTTGGAGATGGTTGCTCTCTGTCTTTTGTATTCTGCACTACTAATAGCTAACGCTTACTTTGTGCCAGGCAGTGGCTAAGAGCTGCATCTTTTATCTCTTTGTCACCTCCCACCAGCCCTCTGAGGTAGGAACTATATTCACCAGTGTTGGACATATGAGGTGACTGAAGCACAGAGAGGGTAAATAATTTGCCAAGGTCACACAGTGAGTGAGTGGTGGAGCTAACTTTCTTCCTTAATCCAAAGCCAATACTCTTGGCCACTACATTAATTATTCCTAGTGTTACAGAGGCTGCAGACTCAAATGCCTGCAGGAGTCAGGCAGGCAACATAACTGGGAGATGTTTATTTGCATCTTAAACAGAAAGAATTACCTGTTTACCCTGGGAATATTCGTCTGTTCTACTCCACTTTTCTTAAACCATATAGTCCTACCAGTGTATCTTTCACTTCTACTGTTTTTTTTAATGGCGGTACTGGGGATTGAACCCAGGACCTGGTGCATGATAAGCATGTGCTCTACCACTGAGCCTTGCCCACCCCGCTTCTACTTTTAGTAGAGATTTGAATTAATTTTTTTTTTAACTTTTCTCTTAACTCTTTGTAAAAGTCCTCATAGCACAAGCTGCTGAGAACCAGCAACTGAGCATTTGGCTTTGATGTCAGAGAGCACAGGGAGGGCAGGGAGGTGGTGAACTGGAGAGCTCATGCTCTGCCTGAAAGGGGCTGCTCCTGCTCAGCTCCCTCCAGTTACCACCCTGCAGGAGTTCGGCCCAGTGTGGTTCAGATCTTTGTTTCCACCAGAAACTAGGAATCTGGGTTTTTTTTTTTTTTAAATGTCCTAATTTTTATATGTTGGCACCTAATCTAAGAAAACCAAAGCATCATGTGGGCCAAACAAAACGTTTGCAGGCCACATACAGCCGGATTTGCTCCCAGTTTTCAACCCCTGGCATAGGATTTTGTTGATTCCTCTCTTGTGGTACTTAGAGTCTGTCAAGTGTGAGTGTTTATGGGAATCTGTGTATCCCAGAAGTCTATAAACCCCTTAAAGGCAATGGCTGCGTCTTATTCATTTCCAAGGCCCATTCCAGAGCCTCGGCAAATCAGTGGTGGTTGTGATTATTTGCTGGACAGATGTATTTGTGGATGGATGAAGAGGTGAATGATGAATAAAGACTGGTTATTTGGTTTTTGGCCAATTACAGCTATTCTAATATTGGGGCTGTAGGGGGTCTGTAGACAAGCAGTCCTGCTGGCAGCTATGTATGTGAACTGATAGCCCAGAATGAGATTAAAACAAAACAAAACAAAAAAACTATAAAAATACAGAGTAGAACGCCGAAGTCCAGATGTCAAAGAGGAGTCCTCCACACCTGAACCAGCCTCCGTCTCCTGGTCTGCTCTTTTGCTTCCAGCCTAACCTTCAGGAATCTCCTTTTCATGACCATTGCTGTGATCCGTCACTCTACTTCTCACCAGCCTGGAGTGACTCCCAGTTACCTTCCACGTGACGCTGTGTGCCTAACTAGGTGGTCCTGCTTACTCTGCCCCTCCACTCGCCCCCACCCTGCCCCCGCTTGCTAACATTTAAACGTACGCTTTTCAGTTCAGCTGCAAAACTTCATTTTCCTATCCAAAGGCCCTTCCCAGATGCTCTCTTACTCTTCTCTGAACTCCCTCTTTTCTCCCCTAAAAGTCCTGCTCCAGGTTCATGTCTACCGTGCTGCCTTATTTATCTAGCCCGCCTCATTCCAGTCAGGCCAGCATCTGCTGTACCCCCCATTCACACCAGCTGCCATTTACTCAGTGCTTGCTGTGTCATCTTATTTAATCCCTGCAATACCCCGTGAGGTTGGAATTGTTACCCCATTTACAGATGAAGAAACTGAGACTCAATGAGGTAACAGTTTGCCTAAGATTAAAAGCAAATAAGTGGAGGCTGGGTCAGATTTCACAAGGTTTGGAGAGGCATCTTGGGACTTCAGTTTACAGTGGAGTGAGCACTTGGTTGGTAGAGGACAGTTTGTAGGACTCGCCATCTGTATCTCTGCTGTGGACTCTGACAATGTGTCTTTTTCATAAAAGGGGGCAGATAGGGAGAGGGAGCCATCCTATGGCACAATAGACTGTCTGCAGACAGGTGAGCTCCCCAGCCCTGGGAGTGTCCCAGCCGAGGCTGGATGGCCATCTGTAGGGAATTCCTGCCCTGGTTGGGGAGTTGGACTATATGACAAGGTCTAGGGTCTTTCCCATTTCTGAGTTTCCGTGGTCTCGTGATGTAATTAAAGCCCAAGTGGTTCAAGATAAAATCTTGTCAGGTTGTCAACTATAGTCATTTTGTATCTAGGACAGTGCCCTGTGCTGTGGGTCCACAAATGTCTAAATTGGGGCCATTACCCTTAAATTGCATATGACTGTAATTAAGGGGACAAGACAGTATCTGAAACAGTGTAAAGCACACAAGATTATATAATTCAGAGATAAATGTCATGAATTGTGCAGATGGTAAGTACAGTGAAAGTTTAGATTGAGGTAAATTAGACATGTGTGTTATACTTTAGAAGGACAAAGGTCAAGTTCAGAGAAAATGAATCTGAGAGGTAGATAGTTAAAGGCTTGGTTCAAATGAGACATTCAGAAATGATTTTCTAATAATTCAGCCCAAGATGATCCCTATGAAGAAGAAACCACACAGGAATCACTTTGATGAGCTCAGATATGTACAAGGCAAGAAGGGAGCCACGTGATGGAGATGACTGTAAAAGACCCCTCCCAAGCCTCAGGGCTCAGCGGAGCTCAGCCAGCAGGTCAGCTCTTCTGACCCCAGCTCCCCCTGCTTCTGCTCAGAGTGTGGGACGCACCAGGTACATTTCGCCCCAGGCTCCGAGAAAGAGAGCCCCAGAGCCAGGAAGGCCCAGATCTATTACCACATAACAGCAAGGAAGCTGAAGGACTCAGGGTCTGTGTTTGCTTGTCTCATGAGGGCTGTCCACTGGAGAGGGGTAACAGTTTCTCTGTTCCAGTTTCTCCATCTGCCAACTTGTGACAGCAAACAAATGGCTCGGCTCTGAACTTGAATTTCCTCATCGATAAAAATGGGCTAGGAGTGCCAGCCTGTCTGTGGCATTACGTTAGTGTAGGGTCACTTGAGATCATATAAGTTTATACTCTTCAACAACTCTTAACTCTTGAATATATGTGAAGAATTATTTTTATTAAAGGAAGTGTCTAAGATCAACGGAGCCTGTATAAAAAACTCTGAATTCTACATGTAATGTCTTGAGTAGATGATAATGCCTTTTTTCCTGCTGATAAAACATGGAGACTCTTACTAGTTATTTTGTCAACTGTGGCATATGCTAATAATAATGGTAAAGAAGGCCACAAAGCATAATGGTTAGAGCCTGGGCTTCAGCGTCACACTTCCTGGGTTTGAATTCTGGTTTCACCTCCATTCAATAGCAGTTCATTCTCAGGCAACTTATTTAACTTGTCTGTACCTTAGTTTTCTCAGC